CCTCTATTTTATGAACATTCTCAAACACTTCTGTGAGCATCCTGACTACCAGTGTTTTGAAGTCTGCATCTGAGAGGTTGGCCATCTCTTTGTTGCTTAGTTTTTTTTCTGGAGTTTTGATCTGTTCTTTCATTTGGCCAGCCTGTTATGTTGTAAGGGGCGGAGCCTTGGATATTCATCAGGGTGGGGCAACCCACGTCCTTGCGTTGTGGTGCCATATGTAGAGGAGGTGTCAGAGGTGGAACAATGCTGTATGCTCAGCTCTTGCCCCACTTTCAGTCACTTCTCCCTCTACCCACAAGCGAACGGGGCCCTTCTGGTGCTGACTCCTAGGTGGGTGGGTTTGTGTACGTTCCAGGACCCTGTGGGTCTCTCCAGTGAACTCTCCTGTAAGGCTGGGAGTTTCTTGTGCTGCCTCAACCGTTGGAGGTTTTTACATCCAGAGGTTTTGAGGCTTTCTTTTCTCGTACTGGAACCCTGGGTTGTGCAGTCTGTCTTGCTCCCCAGTTGTTCCTCCCAGTTTATCCACACGCAAATGTGGGACTGTGAGCCACGCCTCACCTGCCATGTCCTTCAGCCGCCACCTTGCCACACGTCTCTCCACCCAGGCTGCCCATTTCTGCTCCTCCTACCAGCCTGGATGAATGTTTCTTCTTTAGCTCCTTGGTTGTTGGAGTTTCATACAGTTTGATTTTCTTGCAATTCTGGTTGTTTTTTGTTTTTAAATTGGTTGGTGTTCTTCTTTTGGTTGTGTGAGGAGGCAAAGTATATCCACCTATGCCACCATCTTGGCCAGAAGTCTATTGTTTTGAATTCTTAGTCTAGTAGACAGCTCCTCTCCATTTTGTTTAATTATTTTTATGCAGTTTTGTCTAATTTTTTTGTGTGGAACATACTCTTTTGTCTCCTCATTTTGCCTGTTTCTTTCTATTAATTGGATAAGATCAGCTATGTCTCCTAGTCTTGAAAATGTGACCTTATTTAGGTGTGCCATTGTGCCCAGTGATGGAATCCCTCCTTGTCCCCAGAGCCATGTGCTCCAGAGGTGTTCCCTGTGTGGCCTCCTGTTGTGATTGGGATACAACTGCTAAAAACACACTGGCAGGCAATGCTGGTGCCTGGCACAGCAGACTGTGGGGCCTGTCCATAACTCTCGAGCATGCACTGGTGTCCAGGGTAGGCCTTTGATGTGGCTGGAAGTGAGGTCCACCCTTGACTGTTGAAGACACACTGCAATGTGCTGGTGCTGCTGAGGCTACCCGCCAGGTGTGGCAGGGGTGGCAGCCCAGTGGGTCCTCAGAAAAATGCCAGGGTGGGGTGAACAGTATTAGCAAGATTAACAGAGAATGTCAGAAATAGTGTCTGGTAGTATCACACCAGCTAGATGGAAGTAAAGATTTTTAAATGGTGCCTGCCAGTACCTACATCCCTGGCAAAAGTTCCAACAGGTCTCTGTTCCTACAGCACACACCATAAAATTAGTCAATGTGTCACCTTCTCATAAATCCCAGGTGCTTTCAAACTGCTGCCTCTGCTCTGGGACTCAAAGAGCACAGCCTTGCTTTCCTGAAGCCGTTTGGCTCTCTCAGATGTAAGTCCTGCTGGTTTTCTAAGCTAGATGTTATGGAGGCTCCTCTTCCTGGTGCCTGTTCCCCAGGCTTGGGCTCACACCCCTTTCTCTTCAGGTGGGGACCTCCAGGGTTGTGATATCCCTCCCACTTGTTGGTAATCACTCGGGGAGTGGGCTGGTAGCCTGCCAAGAACTGTCTCTCCGATTGTTACAGTCCCACGGGACGCAGGAATGCAAACTTTCATGGCCTCCAGAGCCAGGCCATCCAGGGGCGTTCCCCTGGCAGTGGCCACAAAAATATAGGACACCAGATGTATGTTCCTTTCCAGGAAATACTGGCAATCTGAGATGGGGCAGAGGGAGAGCATGCAGAAGGTACATGCCAGCTGGAACCAGGCAGAGGGGGAGCAAAAGAGGACACTTGCCTGGGGTAGGGGAACTTGCCTAGAGTTAAATAAAAAGTCACCCACCAGCATCAGTCCTCTGGAAGGGATCCTAGCAGGCCCCTAGATGTGTGTTAAGTTACATACCTGCCCCTCAGGCCAACATTTTAATAAAAGTCAATGAGCCTCTTTCAAATAAAGTCTGGACACAATTGGCTGCCTCTGTCCTGGGCCCTCGGCCAAGTGAGTTCATGTGTGAGCTTTTGTGGGTTTCGTGTTTGCAAACCCTGTTGATTTTCAAAGTTTATGTTTTAGAGGTTCATCTTTTAAGTGCAGGTCTTAAAAGTACAATATGGTGTACAAACCCTTTGCCCCTCAGGGAAAAGCTCTTGGTTTTGAATTCCTTTCCGATTCATGGGTTGCCATTGCTGTGGGTAGGGGTTACAGTTTTTGATTGTGTCTCAGCCTCTCCTAGTGGCCTGTGTGGTCTCTTTCTCATTTGCCTGATGTATAGGAGTCACTGGGACAGTTTTTAGGGTTTTTTCAGAGGAAATTGTTCATATATTGCTGTAGATTCAGGGGGTCCGTGGGAGGAGGTGAGTTTAGGATCTTACTAGGTCACCAGCTTGAACTGGAAAGGTTCACTTTTTACGTTAATTACCAATGCAGCCTCCTGTCAGTAACTGAGAGACAAAAATCAATTTGATTGGTCAGTCTTAAGCTAGGAAATTATATTCCTCTAGAAATATAAAAAGCAACTCTTAAATGTATGAGTTGCATAGGTGAGAGCCCCAAACCAAAAATGTGTTGAAAGAAATCTGTGCCCTAATATAGCACTACTTTCTGCTAGTTAATTTTAGACCTCACAAAAAAAAACACCACCAAATTGCCCATGTTATCTGACAGGAAAGTAGAAAGGAACCTTGAAAAGGGAAGTAGGGTAAAGCAGTTTGCCAGTGCAACCTGCTTACTTATCTGAAATTATTCTGTGTATGGCCTCTTGGTATTTTTTGATAGTTGCCTCTTAAGCCTGAAAAATCTGGTTCAGCCCCTTCCCCATGTCCACATAAATAACAAAATTATATAAGTTCTCACACCAGTTAAAATGAAATTAAGTCTTTAAGACAGTAAAATTCTGTATATTAACAATGAGCAGCTATAAATCAGAAAATTTAAGCAGTCAGGGTCCCAAAATCAAAAAATTCAAGATGATTTATTTAGAAAGGGGCTTTTGGTAGAGGGACAGAGTCAACTTAAGGTTAAGTCCCAGGAAATGAGTTAGTGGAATGTATATCTTGACTTCACTCTTTTTTCCTCTCTTTAATCTGCCTGTGAACCCTCTTGACAGAAGCAGAAGCCAGAGGACCCAGGAACTCATTGATATGGTTCATACCAGTCAACCTGCCAGGGCAGACAGCAGGACAGAAAAAGGTGTCAAGTGCGTCTAGAGTAGAAAAAGAAAATAACCAGTATGAGAATGATGCAGGCTGGGCAGCCTTACTAGGGATTAGTCTTGGAGCAACTCCAGCCCAAAATAATACACCTAATAAGCCTCCAAGAGACGAGACCAGTAACTGGGCTGTTCTTTTCTTTAATGTGTAGCCCAGACCTCCACCTTTCATTAGTTAATTATAAATTTAAAATTTTAATCCAAAGTGAAAGTTTTTACAAGATTTTCAACTGATTACATAGGTGTGCTAGCTGCGCACGTCATTGAACATTGTATTAGTAAGGATATTTCAGATGGTGAAACTTTTACTGTTTTCCACAGTGGAAAAAAATGAAAGGATGTATGTAATTCAGGGATGATCTGCGGGAAAAACATAAAGGTATGTGAGATAAGAACTTAAAAGAATGTGAAGTGCAACATGACTTAATATATTAGTAGCAACATTTCCCTAAAAATTGGGTCCCAAGAGGGGAGTTTTAAGACATTTTCCCAGTGCCTCTGGAGTGAAAACAACTGAAGGACACTTTCCAGATCCTTGTATATTCAATACTTATGTACTTTGTTAATTTCAAACCAAGAAAACTTCACATTTCAGTTTTTTTTACATCACTTTTGGTGAAAAGTTTGTCAGTTACCATTCATAGGAAAGTTGTAAATTAAACTTTTCCTCAGAAGTATACTTAGCTATACAAGACAGATTAGATGGTGTTTCCATATTCAAGTCAAAGGCAAGACCATGCTGTGGAAAGTTTCGTTTAAAAGATGGTTTGTATATTATGTGATGCTATGAATGAATCATCTGAAGTTCTGATATGTACTATTGCATAGATGATCAACTTCTGTGAGGAGCCTAGGGTGGGGTGAACAAATTCAGAGATGGAAAGTGGAGTGGAAGCTGCTGGGTTTGGGGGAAGAGTATGGAATGGGAGGTTCAACTTAGTGGGTGTTCTTGATGCCACTGAATTGTATACTTAAAAATTTTTTAATGGAGGATATGGAGAAATTAGAACCCTTGGGTATTATTGGTGGGGTTGTAAAATAGTGCAGCCACTATAGAAAACAGCAATTACCATTTGAGCTAGGAATTCTACTTCTGGGTATATACCTGAAAGAACTGAAAAGTAAAATCTGAGATATTTGGACACCCTGTATTCATAAAGGTGGAAGGAACCCAAGTGCCCCATGACAGATGAATGGATAAACAATTGTGGCATATACATACAATGGTGTATTATTCAGCCTTAAAAGGGGAGGAAATTCTGAGACATTCTACAACATGGATGAACTTTGAGGACATTATGCTAAATGAAAATAGCCAGTCACAAAAAGACAAATGCTGTGTGACTTTACTTTTATGAGGCACTTAGTCAAATTCATAGAAACAAAGAACGGTGGTTGCCAGGGGCAGTGGGGATGGGAGGAATGGGGAGATATTTAATGGCTATATAATTTTTGAAAATGTTAAGAAAAAAGTTTCACAGGGCAGTAACTAATAAAACAATTACCTTTGAAAGATGGTTAAAATGGAAAATTTTATGTTAAGTATATTTTAACCACAAATTAAAAAATCACACGAAGCTTTTTTCCCCCCTTTCAGACGACTTAAATACTGAAATATTCACCATTGCAGAATCACACTGTGGATCAGTAATAGAGAGGGAAATTATAAATTGTTCATCTCCCGAGATACCTGCAGAACTTAATGAACAGTTTAACACCAAGAAAAACAAACAAGAACTAAGAAGCCAGGATAAAGGATCCAACTTAGAAAAAGAAAACAGTTGGTATAATGACCAGTGTAATCAGTTCACAAGTACAGAAAAACAAACAAAACATAGGAAGAAATGTCCTAAAAGGCCTGTTTGGAATATAAATAAGCCACTCAAAGGGTATATTCCAGCATCAGGAAAGTACCCTAAACAGCTTCAAATGCAGAGAGAAGAAAAAAAAGTAAGAAGGCAAATGGAACTGCTTCATTTGGTAGAAAGAAATAATCCTGGAAACCTCTCTCAGAATAGAGGCACTTCACCAGTTCATTCATCTCATCAGGAAACTGAGTCAAAGTTCAGGTGGCATCTAGTAAAAAAGGTAAAGCTCTTCTGTCTTCAGTAAATATTTTAAAGTATATTATCAATGTTCCTAGATTAAAAAGTTCTCCACATGCATGTGTTCACAAGGCTGATTGTCTGAAATTTGCTTTAGTTCACACCAGGGACTGACAAACTATGGCCCATGGGCAAATCTGTCCTATTGCCTACTTTTGTAAATAAAGTCTTAAGAATACACAGCCATTCTCATTCTTTTTCTTTTATGTATTATCATTGGCTGGCTTCACACAACAGCTGCTGAGTTTATAGTAGTTGCAGCAGTGACCACGTGACCCACAAAGCCAAGTGTTTTCTATCTGGTCCTTTATAAAAAAAAGTTTAAACCTTAAGCCTTATGTGGATTAATGCTGTTCTTTATTCAAACACCCATTCAGAATTTGTTTATGATCCAGATAAACAGCAGGAAATTTATAAGATGAGGAATTAATGGATTGATTCTGACTCAGGAAAAATACAAAGTCTGTCCCATTATCTTTATCTTTTATTCAAATATTATCCTTATATTTCTTTTCCCAACAAATAACACTAAAAGTATATGTGGAAATACTATTACTCTTTTCTGCATTTATTTATCCATCTTTTAGGAAGAAGAACCTCTGAAAATTAATTCTTTCAGCAAAGAAAGGTAAGTTAAGGATAGATTAATTCCATAGCTACTTAGTGCTTTGAGGTGAGGTCAAGCATGTACATATATGAAGACAGGAACAGGAAAGGGTGTGACTTCCAGGTGAGGAGTAGAGGTCTGAGGCAAAGGGTGGGAGGCATTTAAAATTATGTAGATTATGAAGGCTAAATTGGACTAGGTTTAGGCGTTCTGTCCAGGAATGTGGCTGATGTTTTCTGTTATATCCCAACTTTTAACAATTTTGATTTTCCAGGTATGACAACAATGTCAATCTAAGACATTCTGCTTAGATTGAAGGGTAGGTGGGAAGAAATGACTGTATGGATAATGAGAAATTCAGTTAACCAATTGGAGATTTAGAACTGTTAGAATTTTTGTCTTTGTTCAAGAAGTAGCTGGTTGAGGTTTATCTCAGAATGTGGCTCTCAGCAGCAAGTTTAGGTCAGATACTAAGTATATTACTTTATGATGAATTATTTGAGAAACATTAGGCTTAAATAACCTAGCTAGCGTCGATCCTTAGGATCTAGTAGTTTAATCCCTCCCCTGCCCCAACTGGCATAGACTATACATACCTACCTCTAGCAACTACTACTGAAAACTCAATCCTGTTCTGTTTCTAAAGGTGTTACAAGTGTATGTAGGATAAATTGAAAAGTGACTGTAGGGATGCTTAATCTAAAACACACAATTTTTCATCAGTCCCTATTTATGTTTTGAAAAATTACAGGTCTCAATCACCACCAGTTCCTGTGGTGAAAAACAGAACACAACAAACTCAGACACTAAAAAATAGTAATTATGAAAGAGAGAATCTGATCTCAGGAGGCAATAAGACAGAATTATCACCTAGGATTTCTGAACCATCTGATTTTATTCCCTATGTTCGAACCAATGAGATCTATTACCTTGATCCAGATGCACCATTGTCTAGGCCGCTAACCCAGGATCCTCAGTACCAAAATCCACAAAGTAAGTATTCTCTTCCTCTAATCATAACTTCAAAAAGTGGCATAATAAGGTTTCCCCAAGTTTTGGGGTCCATTCCTAAATTTTTAATTGACTACCTTATTACTCAAATTTTGCTCAGAGCTCTCCTAGGAAATAAACTTATTAATGAATTCTTACAATATACTGTAGTGTAGGGCTATATCATATTGTTAGGAATACATTTCATTTTTGTCATTGTCACCTGGTTTTAGACTGTGACCAAGAACAAAGACAACTATTTGACTACATCAGGGATCCACTTCTTAATCCTAACCTGGTGAAAAACAGGGATCGACAGCAAGCAATCCTAAAGGGACTGTCAGAACTGAGACAGGTACAAAGTTTTTGTCTTTAACGAAGTGAGGATTGTCACTGTTTTCTGGCTGTGTGTTGGAATGGCAGTTTTACTAAGTGCCTGGTAGGGTACATGATTTGCGACTTTACTGCATCCAAGTTTAAAAAACAAAATCTACAGGGTGGAGCAAAAGTAAGTTTACAGTTCTGAGTACATGAAACTGTTTATTCTTGCATTATTATTAATTATTGTGTAACTTTCCATAAGAACTGTAAACCTACTTTTGCCCCACAGTGCATATGCTATTCTTGAATGGAAATAGGACTTTCAGTTTGCCTCACCTTGCCATCTTTAAGAATTTCCCACATGAAATCATGAGACAATTCAAATATTAAGACAATTTTATTGAATGAAAAAGGCATACATTTGAACAGTAAAATATCAGTAAGGCCCTAAAATCAAAGGCAGAAAATAAATATACAATTATGCTGTAATAGATTCTTAGTAATGCAGATCACGTTCTAAAATGAATGTGTTGGCAGTGTTCAAAACAGAGCATGGACACAAGTCCCAAAAATAATGTAATTCAGTGTGAAATTATACATATAACTTTACCCACCAGACTACTTTTTATCCCAGACCAATTATTATTATTTCTCATCTTGCTTGTAAAAATAAAATTCACTATTTAAGGCTGTAACTTTTCTCCATCAGCTGGCTTAAAAAAACAAAACAAAAAAAAGACCCTACCTCTGGGCTTTAAAAAAAAAAAAAACAGGTAGCTTGCAAAATTTTTTGCAGTTAGTACACTTTTTGATTGAAGTGTACTTTTGGTACTTGGGGAAAATACACTGCCATTTTAGGAGTGTCTTTTTTCCATGTTCATCAGTCACTACGAATGCATCTTGGATTCCAAATTGGTGAGTAAAGTACTGCTTACCAATTCTTTCTGTAGAGCTAGAAAATCACCCTCATTAACCAGATTATGAATAAAAGTGTCTTTAGTTTTTTAAATGGTATGTTTGGTCACATATAGATTGAGCTGTATTACTCGTATGGTAATTCACCCACTAAAGTTGTTTTTTGTTTTTTAACCTATAACTTATAGCTTTGTGGAGACAAGGTCAAGAGGAAGGACTGTGATGTACACATTAACCCACATATTAATTATTCAGCAGGACCTTGTATTAGCCACTAACATTAGTGCAGGAAACACTAGCATTTGGCAGACAGAAAGAGGGGAACTCAAACCCATAATCACGTAGACTTGATTTTAGGAAAAGTCATCCCTATTTGCTTTCTATGCTAAAAATACAATCTTACAAATATTGTACTAGCTATACAAATCTAGTGTGAGAATTACTGGAATTTTTTTTAAGTAATTAAAATTTAACATGACCAAGTGAAAGCTTAAACGGTACCCAAGAACTTAATACATGTTTTCAAAAATAAAATTCTGGATTAACAGGATAGAAATGTAAAATAGGAGTATTTTGCAAGTCTGCTGCACACCTTTACTAACATGTATCAATGTGATTTCAGGGCCTTCTCCAGAAGCAAAGGGAGTTGGAAACTAATCTCATGCCTTTAGCTGCCAATCAAGAAGAGAATTTTAGTTCTTCGTTTTAAATGTAGAAAAATCAAATGCTTCACATTTGTCTTCCAAATTATGAAATGTCCTTGTCACTTAACTGTATTTTTTACAATAGTCTAGGTTTATTTTTTAAATGCTTTAAAAATTGTACATTATGTAGTAAAATGCTGTATATGTGTATATATATAACTTTTCAACAATAAAACAGACCCCTTTGTAAAAGTTTAGTAGTAATAAGAAGCATGTTTCTGCTCTTTCACACTTTGGGTATTTAAGTCTTATAAAAACACTTTCCTACTTACCTTAAACAGAGTCTGGAGTTTCTGATCTGTTAAAATGTTCTTCCACACATTTTATTTATAGCTTATTAACTGAAATACCATTTATGTATTTTGATCTATAAAAAGATTTAAAAGGACAGAAACTCTTCCAAGTTGTTTTGAAGTGCCAAAATAAAGTCTGATTTAATACATCTCAACTTTACTAAAATAACCCAGATTCAGTTTAGGCTCACATGGTAATTTTCTTTTCTCCAAATCCTGTTTGTGACTTTTTTGCATTAGCAATGGAGAGGCAGTTATTGGCAATAGATGTGGGTTTAAGATTTACCTCTGCCATATATTTTATCTGAGAATTTAAAAAGTTATTTTTAGTCTAGCATTTAAGTACTTACCACCTCAAAAATACACTTCTTTTTTAAGACTACCCATTTAAAAATTTATAGCAAAGGGTTTGTTCCAAATTGTCCAATGACTTTAATAAACTTATCTTTTGAAATAGGAAATTGAATTTGGGTAAGCCAAGGACCACATAAGCACTGAAAATTATAATTTTAGAGTACTTGAAAATTATAATTATCAAGTACTCTAAAATAACAGGTTGACCAGATTTTTAGCAATATGGCTAAGCCTGAAGATAAAAAAATAATGCTGCCTGGTATTAAGGCCAAAGTCCTATGTATATAGTTTATTATCTAAATGAAACTGCATTGTTTTAGATAAATCTTGAGGTATTGAGCCAAAATCCTGTATTTATTAACATCACTGGCTTATACCTGTGTAAAAACACCATACAAAAGCTTAAATGAAAATAAATACAATAGTTGATAACGTTATTTCAGCAAAAGTAGCTGGTATCATCTAACATTAGAGAAGAAAAGTAAAACCATTGCTGTCTACTATCTTTTTGCAAACATCTAGTTTTATATATAAAACAGACTTCAATTTGAAGCCAAAGTACAGGTGACATACAAATGTAAAACTTAAAAAGTGCCAACATTAGATAATTCAAGTACAATATATGTTAAAAAATATATATATATTTATTTCAATTTTCATATGCTTCAACTGTTACAGGCCATCATGATTTAAATAAGGAAAAAAAAAACATTTAAGGACAGAAACCTTTTGTTTAGATAATGAAATATAAATTGTTAATTCACTTTTAAGAAACAAAAAGTCCATAACAACTTACGTTAAAAAAAAAAAAAAAAAAAAGTTACTATAATTACTCTTTTAAATGTGGCCTAGAAAAATCACTTCTCCCCCAAGCTTTCAGTATAAGCAGATAAAAAGTGATTTTCACTTTCTTGAGACTGACTTGATGAAAGGGCATATGGTGTTCCCAAAAATGTCTGGTGAGTGAGAACATTAAAATGACTACAGTGATGGGACATACTTAATTGACTTTGATAAACCTGAAAGTTGCTATATGAATCTTGTTCAGCTAAATTGCTGTTCTGTCCTTCAGAGCTTACATCAATAAAAGCTCTCTCTTCAGAATCAATTTGATAAGTCTTATCTTCTAATAAACTTTTTTGCACGTCAAGAGACGATTGCAACTCAATTTGAATATTCTTTTTTTGATCTGTTCCACGTGATCCTTTGGTCTCTTTCGCCAAAATTTCTGAATGAAAACTGCTGTATACTTCTATTTGTGAGATTTCATCTCCTGAATCCAGAGACATATCCTCTTCATCCTTTTCATCGTTTTCTAAAAGAGCTACATTTAAAAAACAAAAAGTCCTCCTCTATTGAAATACACAATTTGTTTAAGTTTTAAAATTATACACTACTCACACAATATAACGCGTCAGGGTCTGCAAGTCCACAATCCCTTAAAGCTTGGTCTTCTGCCACAAGTTCACTTAGTCACAACACTCACACTAGGTGTGAATGTCCAGATAATCCGATGCTAAAAGCTTCTGCGAAATGTGTTCACGTTTAATGTTGGGAAATCCCAACTCCCAGCTCCAAAGGGGTTAATGTCAAAACAGCATCTAAAGTTATACGGTAATTCAGTATTTGACAAGACAAATACAAAATAAAAATTCTGACATCTAGCTTCACTGGATTACTACTAAACTGGTTTTTGATCTCTGCTTTTCATCAAAAACAAAAGTACATCTTTCATTTCACATAAAACCTGGAACCAAAGCAGAGGCCATCTCACAAAACTAAAAGTAGGCTATCCCTACCACTTTGTATTAAATTACTTTGTACATCTGGGGAGATTTAGTAACCTAATGCCAAATCCCCATATCTGGTGTCCTTTTTTAAAAAAATAACCCCTTTGCTGACAACAGCAGACAATAAAGCTTACAATGCCCATTCTATAGTATGCAGTCCACAGAAACACTAACAGTTTGTATTGACTACAGTATAAAATGAGCCGATTTTGTATATGGTAAGTTTAAGAATGATAAATTCCTTAAAACGCTTCCCCTGAAGCTGTTACACAGCGAGAAGAATCGTTTTTAAATAGGTATCTCATTATATTTGAAAATGGCAAAACCATTCCTCTTTTTCTGTCTGCCTTTAAAAGAAAATGAAAACTACTAAAAAGTTACCTGACTGCGACTCAAGATTCTCATTAGCACCAAGCAATGGAAGGTTTTCTTCTGTGATTGAGTTGTGATAGCCCACAAGATTTTTAAAGTTTTGCATAAAGGCTTCAGCAGATGCAACTACTATTCCATTATCTGTATAACTGGAGGACATCTGGATATTTTTTTCTAAATTAAAAAGAAAATGTTTTGAATATGAAATACTTGAAAATATACATGGACATACGATGATGTTTGCCCCCAGCCCCCACAAATTCTTTTTACCACCTTTTCAGAATTATAGCCCACTACAGCGCTTACAAAATCCTTTTATCCACATTTTTATATTTATAGTAGAAAGCCTCAGACCGTGGCTTACCTGTTAAAAAGACTATGTGTCGTTGCTGTATGTTCTGAGCCTGAAGTCTGATAAGGCAGTCCAATTCTGGAGCATTTCGAGTTTGTGAATCACAATTGTGGTATGACAAAATTTCAACCAGATGTTTCTTCTGATAGACATTCAGAAGTGTCAGCAGACTTAGGGCTTTAGCATTCAATCTGAAATTAAGCAGTTCAGTATCTGCATTTCTAAAATTTATTGTGGAAGTTTTTGCTTCAAATTAAAATCATAATTTCTAACTTGGGGCAACAAATCACAACTGCATTGCTTAGCCCACCACTGGATGTAGGGGTGCTTCTTAGGAGAAAGAGGGATAGCAGGAATTGTGCAACCCACCTGTTAAGTACAGGGGCTTTCTCGGGGTACAAAGCTTGAGGGCCAGCTATTCAGTGTAAACTAAAATCTCAACCAGTCATTTCCCTAAACTAAGTAACAAATTACAGTTCTCTTTAGCTTCCCCAATTTAGAACTTTAATCAAGAGCATAAATGGAAAAAAGTAAATAAGTTCTTCCTTCAAATAATACATAGCTCTAAGCTATCTCTACACCTCCAGGCTCAAGGCAACAAGCGGTAGAAATTACTATTGTCAGGAAGACCATAGTAATAACTTGGTACCAAGTTAAAACTTTAGACCTCCACAGTGTTATCTGTTATACAGAGATAAGATCTGAAAATAAAACAAGTTTTTAAAAGAGTGAATTACTGCCAAAAGTTAAATGCTTTAAAATTATTTAAGACTGAATTTCCCTAAGTGAGTAACATAGAATAAATGTCAATAGGTATTAGAAGAAATTTTTTGTGGTCTAAGTTTTGGAAATGCTTAACTACATAATTCTTACCCTACAGGGTTTCTAAGATCCTTAAATGTGTAAATACAATGTATGGACTCTCTAGTAGTAAGATATAGTGTCCCAAATTCATCTGATTAGATAATTATTTGTGGAGCCTCTCAAAGTGACTGCTGATCCAAGGTTCACACTTTGAGAAGTGACTTCGGCCATGTTAAAAATCACCTATTTATATAAATGAATGTCCTCATCACAAATTTGCTAATCATGTTGAGATTAATCCTCATGTGATGGTACTAAATTAGCTGCCTAAGGTAGCTATCAAATGGGAGAGCGCCTGACCTAATTGACATATACAGTTCAGTAAAAAAAATAAATAAATAATAATGCTGACTTATTCCATTTTTATTTGAAACCCCTCAGTAGCAGAGTTAAAACCAATTTTATCTATATCCATAACTAAAACTTAAGCAAACTTCTACCTAAACAAGAATATCACTTGCGAACAGGCTAGAACAGGCTAGAATAATTCAGTATCACATTCCCTTATGACTGGCTAAGGACATCTGTGAAAACTGAACAGCATGATAATCTATAAACACAGAGAAATACGGAAAGAAACTTGGTGAACACACACACAAAAATGTTAAATCAACCACCATTATAGTTATTTTTGAAATCTTACCTGCCCAGTTCCTTTAGTTTTTTCTGAAATTTACAGTGGACTTTCCATTGCCACTTTCCTTCTGGAGTACTAAGTTCTTCGAGGAACGTCAAAAAATTTTTAAGGTTCTCTGTTAGAGATAATTTTAAATTCAATAAATAGCAATCACCCACATTTAACTATGGAAGAAGTGTATGGTGATATTGTATAGGAACATCTACACTGCTATGTAGTATTTTCTTTCTTTTTTCCCCCTCTAAAGGAGACAAATCTATACTCTTTTGGATATAAGAACATTGTATCTATACATTATAAAAAAAGGTACATTGATAACAATAAGCCAAAAGTGATCCAAGTGCAGTAGGAATAGCGAGCCTTGCTTTACACCAAATTTAGAGGAAAATATTTGTAAAGACTAGGAATAGGAAATGTGTTGTAAAAAGCTCAAGAAAATGATAGAAATGTAGTTATCTGTGATTAGCTGAACGGACAATACATTGAAAAGTATGAGTGAGTCATTACTGAGAA